CAAATAAAACGCAAATCGATTTATAATAGTTTGGTCATCGTGACCTACATCCACTCCGTCGATTCCTCTTCCGTCGAGGCCACCGGCATCTACTATCGATCTTCCTTTAATAGGTGAAGATCAACCTCCTTCTTACACCCCTCTTCTCCTTTTCATGAGTTTAGGAGACAACCCTTACAAGCACTCACACTCCTCTTATAGAATTCTAAACTTGAGTGGAGGAAATTTCTTAAGAGATTGCAGCAGCGTTTTCTTACTTTAAAACTCTTTGTGCTTGTGTGTGTTAACCAAGGATGATAGGGGTATTTATAGGCTTCAAGTTGATTCAAACTTGGAGCCTAAAAACATCTCATCCCGGGTTTCCTGGACATGGGCGGTACCACCGCCTACGTTGGGCGGTACCACCACCAGTGTCAGTCTGACATTGACATTGCACTAGGCAGTACCACCACCCAATCTGGCGGTACCACCACCTAGGATGCTGTGCTGGGTAGTACCACCACCCAGATTAGCGATACCACCGCTTGGCACCCTGCCAAGGGTGGTACCACCGCTTAAACTAACGGTACCACCGCTTGACAATCTCGAAAACTATGCCACGACGGTGCCACTTCTTAGGGCACTGTTTGGGCCTCTCATTGGGCCCAACACAGTCCTTACATGGGCTTAACTGGCCCCTAATTGGGTTGGTCCAAATCTAAACTCAATTACGTGCTAACTACGATTCCTAAGACATATTCTAAGCTAAACAAGCCCGTAAGTCTAGTTTCTTCCGGTGAGCTTCCGGTGAACTTCCGATGATATCTCGGCAATATTTTGCTGGACTCCTAGCAAGCTCCTGGACTTCACGACGATCTTCTTTGTGAGTTCCAATGAGCTTCTCTGGTAAGCTCCAAGACTTCTCGACTGGTTCCGCTAGAACTTCTGACGAACGTCCGGACTTCCGATGAACTCTCGAACTCCTAACAAAATCGCGTCCTTGACTCCGGGACTTAATTTTGCTTCATGCCTTGCTATTGTAGTTAATCTTGCACATGTAAAATATACTTCAATCTAGATAATTAATACTAAGCATTAATCATATTGTCAGATATGTCATTGGTCCCTTGATATTTCGTCCGATTCTTCGGCGCATCGTCCTCTCTTGTGGCCTATTGACCAATTGGCCAATTAACTCTGTAACTCCAATATCCTTGGCACAATATCTAGTCTTTTTAGCTCGATGCCCGAATCTATGGCCCGAAGCCTTCTGTCGATACGTCGATCGATCCTCCGGTCCGACATCCAATCTTCTGACATGTTTTCCTCCGCCCTAACATGATTCTTCCTGCTTTAATTGTCTCAACCTGATTGAAGCATCCTACATCACTCAAAACGTAGATTAAAATATAAACACTTATCAATTGGCTTTATCATCAAAATACGATATTCAACAAGTA